TGCCCGACAGCCGTGTCAGGGATGGGCACGCTTCTGGGTCACGGGGAGGCGCCAAGGGGGCCCACGGGGTCTGTCCGCCCACTAGCAGCGGCCCGGCCCGCTCAGGTGGGTCCGTGCGGGTGACGGGACGCACCTGAGCTGGGATGGGGCTGTGGTCAGGACTTCCCGGAAGGCCAGGAGTCCCCACGGCGCGCTCAGGGAACAACCCGCTCTGACCACGTCCACAAACACAAGTCACCACTGGGTCGGGAGCATCAGCGGAAGGCCGGAGAGGGCTGCACACCAGGCTCGGCTCTGAATCCCAGATGGGGACGGCCTGTCCTCACCTGTCCTCGTCCCATGACATCCCTCACCTGTCTCACCTGTCCTCGTCCCAAGACATCCCTCACCTGTTGTCACCTGTCTCACATGTCCTCGTTCTAGAAAATCCCTCACCTGTCCTCATCCCAGGACATCCCTCACGTGTCCTCACCTGTCCTCGTCCCGGGACATCCCCTCACCTGTCTCACATGTCCTCGTTCTAGAACATCCCTCACCTGTCCTCATCCCAGGACATCCCTCACATGTCCTCACCTGTCCTCGTCCCAGGACACGTGTCACCTGCCTTTGTCCCAGGACATCTCTCACCTGTCTCACATGTCCTCGTTCTAGAACATCCCTCACCTGTCCTCATCCCAGGACATCCCTCACGTGTCCTCACCTGTCCTCGTCCCAGGACATCCCTCACCTGTTGTCACCTGTCCCCATCCCAGGACATCTATCACCCGTCCTCACCTGTCCTCATCCCAGGACATCCCCTCACCTGTCTCACAGGTCCTCATTATAGGACATCCCTCACCTGTCCTCGTCCCAGGACATCCCTCACCTGTCCTCACCTGTCGTCGCCTGTCCTCGTCCCAGGACATCCCTCACCTGTCCTCACCTATCCTTGTCCCAGGACACCTATCACTTGTCTTTGTCCCAAGACATCCCTCACCTGTCCCTGCCCGTGAGGGCAGAATGTGCGTGAAGGGTGCACATACAAAGCCTGTGCGTGTTCGGCACCCAGCGTCCTTGGTTACCACTCACAACTGCGGTCACCTTCCCTTCACGATGACCCCTAATGCCAGTGACAGGGGAACCAGGACAGGATGGCATGTGGCCTCCCCAGGCAAACACAGAGCTCCTCTCATGCACATCCTGGGTCACAGAACGCGCGTGTGTACCCGGCCAGAAAGCCCACCCGCACGCCGGGCTCAGGCACTGGGGAGAGGGGAGCCCGCTCGGGAGGAGAGTGCTGGCTGGCGGGCGGGCGAGGGCCAGGCCGTTCGTCCCAGGCCGTCCTCTCATGTGCCCAGGGGCTGGGGACAGGGCCGGGCAGTGAGTCCCCTGCCTCCCGGGCAGGCCGGCCCCTGGCCACGACGCTTCAAAGAGCAGGTAAGTGCCGTCCCAGAGCTGAGACGTCCTCCCAGGCTCAGCGGCCCCAGCCCAGCCCTCTCCCGCCCAGGGAGGGAGAGCAGACAGGTCTTGGGGACGCCCCCTCCCTCGTGCTAGAGTCTCACTGCTGGACGTGTGGCAAGACCCGCGAGGCGCTTCCCGCGCTCGCCGCGCTCCGTGCCCGCAGACGGGACCTCCGCCTCTCAGTGCCCCTCGCCCGGGACCCACTGGGGAGACGGTGCCGACACCTTATTCACAGGTGAGAGACCCGGGGTCGGAAGGGCCACAGCCCGGGCACCCGGGGGCAGCGGACTCTGTCTGTGTACTCACGGTGGTGATGTAGCGGGAGTGGAACTCAGACGCCTCCTTCAGGAAGGCCAAGCCCGGGTGCGTGTTCACCACGTCCTGCGCACGCGAGACAAGATGGAGGTGGGGGACGCGCACCGTGCCCGCCGAGCCCTGGAGCCCGTCTGCCGCGTGCCCCCACGGCTTCAGCATGGACGCCCGCCAGGCGTGGTGGCGGTGTGAGTGTGTCGCGGCCTCACCCACGGGCTCGGGGACCACGACCGGTTCCCGGGAGCCCGCACGGCACGTGTCCCCAGCAGCCGAGACCCGACGGGACAAACACGGAACGGCCCCCACGCAGCGGCACGCATGCGACACCCTCACTTCCGAGCAGCACCCACGGGAGCCTTCAGGTCACGTCTGCGGGGATAAGTGCGCTACCGGGAAGGGCTGCGTGGAAAATGCCACAACGCGAGAACTGCCCATGCTCGAGGACCGCGCTCAGGCTGCGCGACGCCCCGGACGGGCGTGGAGGGGAGGGGAGCGGAGTGCTGCGTGCGGAGGACGTTCTGGAATGCCACAGCCTGTGCCTATGCCGCAGGGGAGCCCGCCAGGGGCCGGAGTCCCCCCTCCACGGCCCCGCCACTCACACACGCTCGCACCGCGCGGGCCACGCGCGGGCCCGCCAGCGACGCAGGCTCGAAGGGGCGGGTCCCCGAGCCGTGTGTGTGGAACGCGCTACCCTGAGGAAAGGGAGCCCCGTCTCGCAGCTGGCACGCGGCGCGGAGGCAGGGGCAGAGCCGTGAGGAGGGGAGAAGGTGCCTGCGGCGCAGACGTGGGCGCACCTGTAGGAAGGGGACGAAGTCCTCCTGTACCAGGTAGTTACAGCCGGGATTCATGAGCAGGTGGACGAACTTGGCCGCGTCGTCGTGGCAGTTCTGGAGGATCCTGCAGCGACAGAGGACATGCCGGTGGTCCCCCCGCACCACGTCCACGAGGCCCCTCCCAGACGCGGGCGGCGGACGGACGCCGGGCCCCCCACCCTGGAGGCCAGCTCCCTGCTCTCGCCATCTCGGCCACAGGAGCCCGGGCCCGTGACGTCCCCTCTCCCGACACCCGCCCCCCGCGCTCCCGCCCGGGACTCACTTTCTCCACATGGCGACGAACTTGTGCACAGACACGGAGCCCGTGCGCTCTCCCCCGGCACTGCAGAAGAGCGGTCCCTTCCAGTACAGCGGGCAGCCACAGGCCTATGGGACGGGGGCACAAGCGGGCGGTCAGCGCCTCCCGGGCCCCCACCGTGGCCACCACACCCCGCGCTCCCACGGGGACGCCGCAGACAACTTCTGCTGCGCCAAGACCCCTCTGGAAGCCCATGAGCCCCGCACACACGAGCTCCAGTGAGCCGCGAAACACACGGCGTGCGTCCTTCCCCGTGCACCAGGGACAGCATCTGTCACATCGGGTGACGGGAAGGCAGCTCGAGGACGGGGAACGGACCACCCCCTGACCAGCACACAGTCTACCGGCAGGCAACCAGCAGGTGCCCAAACTCTGCGTGTCTAGAAACACCTCATGATAAACACGGACGATAGGACACACAGCGTAAATTAGGAAGGGCTCCGAAATGCAACAGTGAAAACGCCGTCCATCGGATTCACCAAACGAGCACTGACAGGGGCGTTCGGCCCGCGTAGCAGCACAGAAGGCTGAACGCCGGCAATCCAAGCTCCCGTTGCAAAAAAGCAAACAAAAGAAGAAACACAGAACAGGCAGAAATGAAGACGAAAGAGAGCAAATATCTTAATACGGAAAGTCAGCAAAACCGAAAGTCCGTTCTTTGAAGATCTAAAAAAGACCGTAACGCCCCTCAGAAATACTCGTCAAGAACTAAAGAAAACACAAGTTACGAATGTCCGCTGTCACGGCAGTTCCCACACGCGACAGAAAGGCAGGAAGCGTGTGACACCAATGACTTCACGCCAACACGTGCCACAGCTTTGCGGACACGCACAGACTCCCGGATCCAGGGGTCTGACCAAATGGACACGAGAAAAGATCTGAACAGTTCTATGCACCTGCAAAAAAACAAGCCTTAACTCCAAACTCTCCCACAAAGAAAAGTCCGGGCCCCAAAAGTCCGCCAACGAGCCTGTTCAAATATTTATGGAAGAAATCACACGGACCGCACACAAACTCTTCCAGAGACCGAAAGTAAGGGGCATTGGGTAATTCTCATTACGAGGGCTGCACATATACTGACATGTGTCAGGAACGCAAGGAGAATTAGGAGCCGGTTATCCATCGCGATCAGTAATGCAGAAATGCCACAGAAAACGCATCGTGAACCGACTGAACTCGGCCATTAAACAAACAGCGATGAAGAAACAGCACACGGAGAAACTAAGAACAGAGACGTACCTTCTTCCTTTAATGTTTTTTTGTAACGTCTACCCCCAGTGTGGGGCGTGAATGCACAGCCCCGAGACCAGGAGTCACGCACGCCACAGCCTGGGCCAGCCACCTGCCACAGGAACACTTACCGCGATGAAGGAAATCCACACAAGGCCCGCGGCTCATGTCACGTACCAGGGTGATGCGTGCAGGCCCCGTGCCTGAGCCGGGACCCAAGCCAGGGCACCAGTGCTGCAGGCCGGCCCGGCCAGGCGCCGCGGCCGGAGAAGACAGGCCGCACAGGAGGCCCCGAGAGTGTGGAAGTCACAAACGTGTGGCAGGGCGTGCGGGAACGCGGAGGGACTCGGAGGGCAGTGAGGACGCGCCCGGGAGGAAGCGTAGCCACGTCGCCAGGCGCAAGCACCGTGTCTGTGAGGCCGTTCTGTGCCCACACGCTGGCAACAACTGGAAAACGAACTCGTCCGCAGCGCTGTGTGTGAAACGCGTCCAGAAACCCATCAAGCGCGCACCCCACACGGTGTCACGTGTGCACAGAGCCGGGCACAGATCTTTGCCGGGACACCGAGGACCCCGTGCCGGGCTCCCGCAGTGGACGCGCCGACGCCGGTTCCCGGAACGAGTGACCCACGGGCTCGACGCGAGGCCAGCAAGCACCAGCGGGTGTCTGTGGGACAGGGAAGCTGCTTCGAAGGTGCTGCGGGGACACGGAGGGCTCTGCAGGCTTACTGCTGAGTGACGTGCGTGACCCGGGCGCATCTGGGCCAAGAGGGACCCGCCGGCCGCAGGGAACAGGGTGGGGAGCAGATCGGACCCGGCAACGGATCCCGCGGTTCAGGGGCAACGAGTGGGCTCAACGGGAGTGCCGCGCCACCGGGAAAGCCGCCCTCAGCTGCGCCACGAGCAGCGCGCGACGGGTCCCCGTCCGGAACGGGACCGCCACGGCCGCAAACTCTCCGCGGGAACACGTGACGAGCGGGTCAGCCTGGCTCCGGGGCCGCGAAGACAGACTCCCCACGCGGGACGCGGAGCACCCTCACCCCAGAGGGAGGTCCGCGTCAGCTTCACGTCAGCACCGTCTGCCGGGAGATGCCGTTGAACGAGGGAACGGAACCCACTGGCGGCAACGTGAGCGTCTGACCAGAGCCACGGGCGGCATGTTCCGGAAGGGCCAGTCGAGGGGCCAAAGGCCGCCGTGGCAGCGCGTGAGCCCGAACAAGCAGTCACTCTGAGAATGGGACGCACACGCGCCCGTGCGCCTGCGAACACGCGCTCCACCTCAGGACTCGTGACGCAGACGCCAGGAAGCGTGCGAGGAGGAATCAGGGCGGCCCGCACGGAAGCGGCCACGTGTCTGCGAGCAGGGCCCTGCACGAACGCTGTGCACACCCACCCCCTTGGGGGTGCTGCCTTGGAGCCGGATCGCGGAGGAGAGCGCGGGGACCACACTTTTGGGTGATGGGTTTTGGGTACCCCCGAGCCAACACTGCCTGGTGCAGGTGTCGAGGCATCGCATGGAGGCGACGTCGCACGGAGGCGACGTCGCACGGAGGCGACATCGCACGGAGGAGACCTCGCACGGAGGTGAAATTGCACGGAGGCGACCTCGCACGGAGGTGACATTGCATGGAGGTGACATCGCACGGAGGGGACGCAGGGCCGCCCGAGTCACGACAGGTGACGGAGGACAACGTCCAGAAGAGGGCTGGAGGGCTGACAGGGAGCGGCCGGAGGGAACTCTCCGTGGTGCCAGGAACATCTGGAGGCTCGCTCTGGGTGGTGGCCACGCGGATGTGGGGACATTCGCGGCAGTCGGGACCGGGGCTGACGGCCCCGAGGCGTCTCCCGGCTCCGTGAGTCCGTCCCCGAGGCGGTCTGCGCCCACAAAGCTCTGCGCTCTCCTGTGAGGGGGGCCCTCCGCGCACGCGTTCCAGGTCGTGCCGGCCTGTCCTGCTGCCAACCAGCCCCGCAGCCAGAAGGCTGGCCCTCAGGCGCTGGCCGCGGCCGACACCGCCCCTCAGGACGCTCTGTTAACTTTCTGAAACGAACGGCAGCCTTCACCTCTACGACGCCACCAACAGAAAACCAGCTTATGAACAAGTCCAAAGAAGAAGACGCATCACATAAGCAGACCTTTGCTTCTTATCAGCTTCGTACAACATACGCGCGTGAAGATTCACCGTGGTAGGGTGCACGCAGGTGGCCGGTCACGTGTCTGTCCCCGCAGTCCGAAGAGCCGGGCCGCGGCCAATGTGGCGTACCCCGCCCACACCCAGCCAGCCCCGCTCTGCGTCCCTTTCGTGGAACGTGCTACACATGGGACCACGCCACCTGTGGCCTTTCGGCCTGGCTTCCACTCAGCATCCTGCTTGTGAGACACGGCCCTGCTGGGGCGAGCGTGAAGTCACGGACCAGGAGCGGTCTGCGCCCCGGCTCCCGGCACAGCGCGTCCGGAACCTCGGTCAATCCCCACAGGACAGGGTGCCAGGTGCACCGTCCGCGCCGACGACGGGTGCTTGGCTGTCGCTGCTGACGCACCGCTCCTACGTGGCCTTGGGGCGTCCCGGCCGACGGGCGCGCCTGTTGTTTGCAGGTGGCCCTGGGGGCGCCGGACAGCAGGAAGGCTGAGCCAATGTGAGACACCTGAGCTGTTCGGCCCCACGCCATCCTCTGGGGAGGAGCGCACCTGGACGCGGGGGCAGGGATGCATCCCAGCGATGCCGGAAGGCTCCGTGAAAGTGAAGGTGACGGCTGGGCAGCTGCTGGGTGGTGAAGACACGCGGGCACGGGGGCTCCCAGCGCTCACCCGCTGGGCCGCTTCCTCTGTCTGTGCAGCTTCACCCTCCCACAGGGAGGGGCCGTGGGAACCCCCGGGTCTACAGCTGGCTGCTCAGCGCAGAGGAGACAACCTGGGATCTGTGCCGGGCGGGTGAAGTGGGAGGCCCTGGGGACCTCGGCCCCTCACCCTGGGGTCTCTGTTGCCCCTGCGAGGCGGCCCCGAACGGACTGGAAAACACAGTGCAAGCTAGTTAATGCCGGATGAGAAAGAAAGAGACGCACGGCACACTGATGCACGAGACGCCTGTAAAGCCGTGTCTACGAGGAAGCTCACAGCACCGCACACGAACGTCAGTACGGCCATGGCAGGCCGGAGCAGCCTCGTGCACGAAGCGGCGAGAACACGGCGATCCCGGAGGGAGCCGAAGGCAGGGAGCCATCCCGAGAAGGCCAGAAGCCAGTGTGCCCGAACGTGGCCACAAAAACAACCCCGGAAGCGGAATGGGAGTCCTGGGAAAAGATCAGGAAAACCAGGCCGTGTGGCCGACGTGGTTCAGCACGCACACGGGAGACACACGCGCTGGACTGCACATGCCAGGGCGGCCTCACTACGGCTTCTGACACGCTGGGTCTTAGCCCAGCCAGCTTAGCACCTGACGCGCCTGCACAGACACGTGGGACGCACGCCCTCAAGTCTCATGTGAGGACACGTCAACGTCCTCGGTCTACTAAGCACACAGAGGAAGGAAACTGTGGTGAGGAATTCAACGTAACCTTCCCAGAAAGAAACAAGGGTGACCCCAAGTGGGTCCCATGCAGAACATTCAGGGAGCGAAACTGATTCCAAACACACAGTTCCGGAACACAGACTGGTAAGGAGCGCTTCCCGAGGAAGTGGATGAGGCCGGCCCGGCAGCAAAGCACACCACAAATTCCAGGGACGGATGGCGGGAGACCCCAGTCGTGAACCGAGATGAGATTTAAGCCCCCGCGAGCCACTAGAAGCCGGAACCCGAGGGCACGTAAAGCGGAGACGATGGCGTTTTTGATGAACCGGGGT